AAAACTGAATAGGCCTAATTGATTCTATTATTATCATATATTTATCTCAAATGTCTTTTTTATCCTATGTTTTGGCCATGCATGGCATTCACGATCTTAGTTCTCTGGCAAGGGATCGAACTCACGCATCTGCAGTAGAACTGTGGTGTCTTAATCACTGGACCACCAGGGAAGTCCCTATCTTTAATTTCGAATGGTTAAACTGACTGACCCTGCAGCTACCATTACCACACCATTGTCTATACATTATGTAAATAGCAGAGAGTTGAGGCTCACCACCAATCACAAAACCCACCAACATGCCAACAGGAGGAGCAAAGTTCCTGCACTTATAACCTCTCCTTCACCTTCTTTACTTGCTAGGGAAGATACAAATTTTCCTGGCTACTTCCCTGCTAAGGAACATGGGTGGACCTACAAGGACCCAGGAAACCTGATTATAGAGTGACCACCTGCAGCCTACAGACCACCTGCAGTCACACCAAGAGACTGGAAAACAGTAATATGAAACTAAATCTGCCTGTACCTGCAGTCCACCTCTAGACAAATAACCCAAATTCAAAGATTTGGGATAACTTGGAGGAGTTCTAAGACACAGTGGTTGTTCGGAGCTTGGTATTCTTCAACCACTCTGCTGTCCTACTGTTCAACCCAGGACACTTTCACTGCCAGCTAGGCAACAAAAACTACCAATGTGCTGGCTGAGATGTCACTTTCCAATTAACACAAGCAAATGTTAGAAAACAGAAAATTGTTTTTTTAGTGAAACAATCATCTGTTTATTTGGAAAAACCATTTGTTCACTGTAGTGGCAGAGGTTCTGTCTCACTGGAAGCTCATTCCCAAAAACCTCTAGTAGTTAGGTTTTAGTAAAAGTTAAAATCTGGAATGAATACATACAAAATTATTTAAGCCTAAATCAAACATTCTTATAAGATAGATTTTGTCCATTTGTTCTGGACAGCAATTTTAAAATAAGCCACATTAAAAATGCTTTCTGATGAGAATAAACTATGAACTGAACTCTTGACCAAGGGCCTTGAATATATTTTAATCTTCTACCACGACGTAAATGCTATTGGTATCCAACGAGCATTAACCACTAGTAAGGACAAGAATATAACTCTGAAGTTAATTATCTCCATGGTTTGCTCAACTTATTGGAGATTTTAGATATAAAACTGGAGATAAAGGAAAGTTTCAAAATTAAAACAGAAACTCTGAGACTTTAAGACTATCTCAACATAGACAGGTAAGTATTTCTCCATGTAAATGATTGCATTAGTTTCAAAGGCAAAGAGGGAAGATATTTTGCAATCCAAGTGTCCCTTCATTCTGACAAATTGGAGAACATAATTTCCCTAGAAATAACTAATGAATTCTAACAAAATAGAAATCAAATCAAGAAAATTAAAAAAAAAAAAACTGGCTGGTGTAAATCAGTTGGTAATCCCAAGTAAACCATTAGGTCTTCAATATAGAGACAGAAGATTCTCTCTGTTGCAAACACAATCCAACTTGGAAGTGTGGACTGCTGAATCTCTGCATCAGGGATGTTTCCCAATTGGTCATTGCCTGCTGCTGCTGCTGCTAAGTCGCCTCAGTCGTGTCCGACTCTGTGCGACCCCAGAGACGGCAGCCCACCAGGCTCCTCCGTCCCTGGGATTCTCCAGGCAAGAACACTGGAGTGGGTTGCCGTTTCCTTTTCCAATGCATGAAAGTGAAAACTGAAAGTGAAGTCGCTCAGTCGTGTCCGACTCTTAGCAATCCCATGGACTGCAGCCCACCAGGCTCCTCCGTCCATGGGATTTTCCAGGCAAGAGTACTGGAGTGGGATGCCATTGTCTTCTCTGGTCATTGCCTAGGTCAAAAGTAAATAATCCTGTTAAACTTGTTTTAAAATTCCCTTTGCACATACTGTTGATTCCCTAGCTGGTTTGAGAAGAAAAGGCATATTAACTAGCTTTCACATTCTTACTTCTGAGTGATTATCATGCTTAAGAACTCCCAGCAGAGGTGAAGGAATCATCACTGGAAAGAGGAATTTTCAAAAACAAAGTTGCCTCAAGAGGTTCTAATTTCCACTCATGTGATCATCCTCAGTTACATCTGGTGAATTCTGCCTCTAGTCACAGATGACACTAATATATAATAAGTATTTATTAAATTCTTTCTTTTTAAATCAAACACATTTTATTACTAATAAGTTTGGACTTTCTTGGAAGGGTTAGCGTTACACCCTTTGTAATTCTGAACATCTGAATGGTACAGAGAACCCATGGCTGCAAATACTGCCCTTTTCCTCATCTCTCAACTCCTCATCCTACTCTGCCTGCTTCCTCAACATTTCTGGAGGAGGGAGGCTAAAGCTTTCAGAGAATTTGTCTGTTGGAAAGGAAATAAGCCATTAAAAGCAGAACTTAGGTAGAGAGAGCAGTCTGCCTTTAGGAGTCTGCAAAGTCTTGGAAGTTCAGCTCAATTTTGGAACTTCCCTTACCTCTAGCTCTATTTGTAGTTTCTCTGAGCCTCAAACAGAGCCTTCCAAACTATGGGAACTTAATAAATAACCACCGAAAGACTGAGCAGATGCAAATATGCTCTGGAGTCTATCAGATTAAATCTTAGCTTCGCCCCAGCAATTGCTTGAACCTCTCTCTAAGCCTCAGTTTTCTCATCTGTAAAGCAGAGCAATCGTAATTAGAGTTCTTGTAATGATTAGCCAAGGAGATAATAGTAAACGTAACAATTATAATATTCCTGTGAACTCCTCAAGCGCAGGGACTGTGTTCTCATTCCTACAATTTTGTATGGTGAACCATAGAACCAGGCAAGGAACGAGCATGTGCAGTTTCCATTAGATGTCATTTTCTTAACTGTAAGAGTTGTGGATTTTCCAGACAGGACAGATGCAGAAAAAGATTGCAGAATTTTGACTACCAGAGTTTGATAAAGTTGGAAGAGGTGGTGGAAAAATTATGGGAGGGCAGAAGAATTCAATAGAGTGGCAGTAATTTTAAAGCCAAAGGTGAAAACAAGGAAATGTCCTAAGGTTATGAAATAAATGTGAAATCCAGCTCACTAATGAAAAAAAGCTTCAATCTTAATGGGGAGCATGGAATTCAGTTTACTCAAATCAGAAGGAAAGATGGGTTAACAGCCTCTCTTGAACCCAGAGAGACCAACTCATAAAAGACGTGGCTTTGGAGTTCCTGTTGGTGTGGTGACTATTAAGAAGGAGTTGGCATGCTGGCCTCTCAGAAGAATCCATCTCCTTCCTCAACTGAACCTCTGGTAGGTTAGAAACCACACAGTCTGTGGACATGGTCTCCTCACTTGCTTGTGAAACTATACTTTGTCAGTAGTAGGTTAGTATTTTTAACCCAAAGAAACTTTGGAATAGAGTACAAAGATTAATTGGAATTTAAATTATTAATACTTTATATAAAGTTCTAAAATAATGTTTTTTAATCATTTAGACAACCTATATGTATTTGATATTTTAAATGTTTGCACGTTTGAAGAAAATGTGGCTTATTAAGGTATCTAACAGCCTTCTGGTGCCAGTTTAAATGGTCAACTGGGCAATTAACTTTAGATTCCCATCCAGTGTTAAATCAAATGGTGTAAGCGGTACTGAAATACGTAATAGAACTTAAGAATCATCAGAGTGGTTTAAGTACATGGGAAGATTTTTTTTTTCCCTGTTAGGGAAATGTGAAGGGTTTGAGGGGAAAATGAATATATTAAATTGACAAAAGCAATGTATGATATTTAAAAGAAGTTTATTAACTAGGTCTGTAACCAGAATTGGTTGATTAAGGGAGGTTGGTCCACTCAACTTGAGTTGAAAAGACAGAAATCAAAGGCTCCCTTGAAAATGCTTGTTAAAACTACTAGATTTAAAAGTAAAATTGGATTTGTAAATATTCATTCAACATATTTATTGAGCGCATGCCATATGTTGAGCACTATTCTGTATACTAAGAATATAGAAATAAAACAAGGCCAAAAAAAAAGCTTCATGGGGCCTACATTCATTAAACTTAACGAGCTTTAGAAGAACTAAGTTATTAACTGCTTGCTTTAATACATTGGATATTAATTTTTAAATGTTAGCTGTAAATAGTCTCTTTATTGCACAAAATGTCCCCCAATGGACACCAAAAAATTTCACATTGCTAAGTGTCTTCATTAATCCTTTTGTCCTTAGTGCCTAGCTCAAAACTGTATTGAGTCCTCCTATATTGACTTCACATCACTCACAAGAGATCTGAGTTAAGCAAGATTTTTTTTCTTAAACTGCAAATGTCTCCAAGCTTAGGAAGCTTGGAGATATTAACATCTTCATGTAATTCAATCAGATTGTTTCTTCTAACATGTGAGTTGAGAAATAAATTTTCTGATAGAGGAAAGAGAGGAAAATTACTTTGGGGATGAAAATATCTGTGCAGAGAAAGGAAATCTCTTTATTGGAAGCATCGTAGGGGGCAGGGCTGGAAGTCCTGGGGCAGTTGGGAGGTTGAGAGACTTGGGTGAGGGGTACAGAAAAAGTGGTGGAAAAATGCAAAGAATTTTCAACTATTTCAAAAAGAAACTCCACGCAGGAAAGAGAAGGAGCTTCTCTTTTACTTTCTCAGGTGATTGTCTGTGCCCAAAACCCACTGGTCAAAATTGCTTTGTTAAAAACTTCCATGGGGCGGTGGGGGGCAGAATTTCCATCAGGGTAAATAAAGCTTTTGCAAGAAGACCTGGCAATTCAAACAACATTGCTTCCAAAGGAAAATGTTTCTCAATTCTTAACAGTCCTCTTAAAACCAGTCTACTGAAACATAACCTATCTGTAAATTAATCAGTATTTTGATAACCAAAACTCACAAAAACCACACCCAAGGCAGTTCCAGAAAATTGCAGAGACGCTACAGAAGCCCAGCAATGACCTAAACCATGCATTTGCAGAGCGAGCCCTAAACTGAGAACTCCCAGGATTTTGCAATCCGTACCCATTTTTCAGGTTCCTTATTCCAGCAGTCATAATTCACATATTCCAAAACTTCAGACAATGCTGGTGGCCCCTGGAGCAGTAACTCCTCCTCCAATTGGCCATTCCTAACGATAGTGGCTAACAGCAAATTCCCCCATTTCAGGACCAATTAGAGAGCAGATAGATGTCTCACGGTAAAAGTGTATAGCGGTTAATTCTTCAGGTTCTAGAATCTGAAAGAACTAAGTTTAAATCCTAACTACCACAGCCAGGTTATTTAAACTTGCCACACCTCAGTTTGCTCATCTGCAAAATGGGGGTTATAATAACACCTACTTCATGGAGTTTCTGAGGTGTTTAAATGAGATAATCCATGGACAGTATCATGCCTGACACAATGTGAACATGTAGAGTTACTCTTATAGACGGGCTCCCTAACTTATAGCAAGGAGCATTTCATATCTTCTGCTCCCCCTATGCCATAATGTAAGTGGTAATTATGGACATCTTGGCTGGCCTAGCTAACTTACAATTTTTTTCAACATTAAAGAAACTAAGAAACAATCCAGTTCCTATCTGGACTTTTGAGATGCTGGAATGAGTTACAGGCTCATAAACGCTGTTCTAACAGTTGACAAGGATTTGGCTTTAATCTAGTGAATGAAAATTTCATGAAAAGAGAGTTATGGAAGAGTTGTGAGGAGAAACTGCAATGCTCTGAAAGATGGATTTCAAAATCATCAACACCTTTTCAGACATTCAGTCCCATACTGGACCAAAATATCACTGACAGTAATTCCTTGAGAACATGATTTTTATAAATAGATCCATATAAACCAGGCAGATTTATTAAGGGAAAAAATGAGTTTAATAATACAGTATTAGATTGAGTATCATCCAGGAAAAGTGTACTGTAAAAAAATGTTTTGAATATTAATTGACCTCTGGTAACTTTTGTGTCGTAAATACTTGTATTATAGTGAGGTAGACAGTTTTAAAAAAACTCTCCATTAGACAGACTTAAAATTTTGTAATAATATTTAAGAAAATGATAACATTATGAAAGAATGAAATATCTGATGAATGCTTAACTTTGTACAACTCGAATATAAACTTTAAAAATATTAGAAATTATAACATTTGAGTGCATATAACGTTTTGTACATTAAGATGAATTGCATGCTGTCCATTTCCCCTTTGCACTTTCAGTTACCTTAAATAAACAAATATATACAGCCTTAACAGAACAACAGTGCATCCAAAGCAAATGTGCATTTTAAATTATTTCTCCTGGCCAAGTCTTTTTTTTTTCTTTTTTACTTAGCATTTTATATTAGCATTTATTATCAGTCTCACCCTTTCTTGGATAGTTTGTAGTTCTCTGAACCAAACAAGCAACAGGTTTAGATCCAGAGAGAGCAATACCACTTAGGAAGAACAAAAAGGTCTTGTAATGGTTGGTACAAGTTCCCTTGTTTAAACCATTTCATGGTCAAAGACAAGAAGGAAGCTAACTCTTCAAAGGGCCTACTTATGGGCAATGTTTGAAAATAACACTGGTGCAGGCTGGGGAAAGTTCGTGCTTTTGGCAACCTGAGGATGGGTATTTAACTTGCACCGGGCTCTCTCTTGCTTCCGGAAGATGAATTCCACCCTTGCCTTCTTCCTCACCACCCCATTCCCCATCTCGCACCCCAAGCTCAATGTAACACTTTGCTCTTTTCACAGTTTCTCATTACTAAGTTTTAAAAACATTGCCTAACTGGTAATTACAATCTGAAACAATTCTTTGGGGGGAGCCCTGGGCTATTGCTGGCTGGTAATCTTTCAGGAATGTCAGAGAGAGGGGAGGGAAGAGAGATTCCAAAGAAACTTCGAAGACAAGGACATGTGCCTCCTTTCATCCCACTCCTCCCAGCTCCTGGGCCTGCCCCTCCATCCCCATCCTTGGGGAAGGAGGGGGCAACCACCTCCCCTCCAGACTTCACCCTTCCTTCTCTTAGGTCACTTTCCCATCCTCTGCATCTCTTACTTTAGTTCTAAGTTCCCCAGTTCTGCCCTTTTTTTTTTTTAATTGGAAATCACCTTCCCCTTCAAAGGGGATGTCTGAATTTTGGCAAATTCTGCCTAAAGAAATCAGTGAGAAACAGACATGGGGAAGGGCTTTTCCATAGGTTACCTCCAGCCTGGGCCAAGGCACCTCGGTGTCAGCCCGTCGGAGGCTGGTCTTGTGGTTTCTCATTAACCTTCAGGGGGTTCCATTTGGACTCATTCTTGTCATTCCATCCATACCAGCTCCCCTTTCCCCCAGAAAAAGCCAGTGAAGGCGGTGACCTGAGCCCCCTGGAGTGAGATGCAGGTTGCCACTTCTCCATACCCGAAGAGGCCGGGGCAGAGCTGGGTATACAAGGAAGCGGCAAAGGCCCGTTTGCATCCGCCTCTTGTCTAGCAAAGCTCTTCCAAGGCAGGACCCCTTCTGACTTTGTAATATTTCTGCCTTAACCCTTCCTGCAGGGGCGTGGGGTCGGGGTCACTGAACAGGGCCAGAAAGACCCACCTCCTTTACACAAGTGGAAAACAATCCGACCGAGATGTGGTCGAAGGTGAGTCTTCCTTCCACAGGTTCCCTTCTTAAACTATTAACCACCCCCCCCCCCACCCCCCATCCTTGGAGCAGTTGAGAAATAGGTACGCGTCTCCCCTGCCCCCACCTCCCATGNGCCCCGACCCCTCGGCGCCCGCGCCGGGGCCGACCACCTCGGTCGCCGAGCCCAGCTGCTCACGCATCTCGGCGAACAAGGTCTTGCGCTGGGACCTGGAGAACACGACGAGCAAGGCGCGCTCCTGGGGGGTCCGCACCCTCCGGCCGAAGCCCAGACTCCGCAGGTCCGGGGGCGGCGGCTGCTGGGGCCCCGGCGCGCGCGCCTCGGCCTCCCCGGCGCCCGGCTCGCCGCCCCACGCGGCCCGAAGCTCCAAGCACAGCTGCTTCCAGGGCTGGGGGCGCAGGCCCCGCCACACGTCGAAGACTTCCCAGCCGGGCCGGGGCGCCCCCTGCGGGTCCAGGCTCCGCGCTTCCAGCAGCAGGGGCGACTGGCAGGCGAAGAGCTGCAAGCGGAGCGGCCCGGCCGGCGGCCCCCAGGGCGAAGCGGGCGCCTGGCGAAACAGCCGCAGCTCCGCGCCCACCAGCTCTTCTTTGTCTGAGAGCGTGGACACATCAAACAAATACTTCTGTCTCCGGAGAGGAGTGTGCGAGAGATCGTCTGCGAGATAAAAATAATAATAATAATAATTACAGTCAGTTTCACTTAAGAGGGAGATCAGCCCGGAGCTCTGCGGCCGCCCCTGGGATGGAGCCGGGGCAGGTCGGTAGGGGTCCCGGGGCGCCCGCCCGGCGGGCTGACCACAACGGCTCCCCGCCCCGGCGGAGCGCGGCAGAAAGGAAGGCGCACCAGGGCGGCCCCCTCGTCCCCATCAGCGCGGGACACCCTGCGCGGAAGTCGGTGGAGAAGGCAACCGCAGCGGCCTCCCAGGTTTCCCCCCTCCACGCACCCCCAGGAGCCTGCGTAACCACTAATGCGCCCTTCGGCCGCGATGCCTCCACACCTCCGCTCGGCTGGCTTGTTCTCATCACTCCCGTCTCAGTTCAAATGTCACCTCTTCCGAAAGGGCCATCTTCGACCACCCTGATCTAAAGCAGGCTCCCTCGGTCACTACCAGGGGACCCTGGTGTATTACTTTCCCGGCACTGAGCACGATCTACAAGGACCTCGTTTGTATCTGTCTCAATGGTCTGACTTTCCCAGCAAGAGCCATGCCCGATCTCCAGCAGCCCATAGGAGCTAGCCCCCTGTGCGGGCCAATCTTGCTCACAGCATTGTCTACAGGCCTGTCTGACCTAGGGTACATGCCAGTCAGTAAGTGGGGAACTTCTTGGCTGCCCTTTATAACCATCTAGGGAGTTTTTAAATGGCAGCACCAGGGCGTGCGTTAGCCAACTGGATCAATATCTGAGGACAGGGCCTGAGTATTAGAGTTTTGTTGGGGTTTCTTAGCTTTGCTTTAAAAAAAAAAAAAAAATCTCCAAGTTGATTTGAAGGGACAGCCCAAGATGAAACCCAGGGGTCCGGTGGAACAGTGGAAGGTGCTGCCCAGCAGACAGGCTTGCTGAAACCTTTAGGCCGAGCACGAAGTTCACAGGATGCAGAGCTGCAAGGCAATTTCTTTCTTTTTTAAATTCATCAGTCATTTAACAAACAAAAGAGCAAGAAGGGTTTCTAAGGTCTGCAAGGGTGCAAATGAATCAACGCTAACACCGGGCATCTATCCATTGAGAAGATCCTGCAGCCAATGAGAAATAAATACATCAGCAAGGAGAAGAACCTAAGCAACGCACACACATAGAGAGTGACATTCTCCCCTCCTCCACCTACCCAATCTGAAATCATCTTGCTTTGCAACTAATCCTGAAGATAAAATTTTTGGTTACCACTGAGAGAAAAAAATGGGGGCACCTGGAGGAAGGACAATAACAGGCTTTTAAAATTCAAGGTGAATTCCTGGGGACCCAGGCAAAACTGGACTTCTTTTTTGACACATCTGTGCATGAAGCCAATCCCACTTCAGTGTGCAAGGCGGAAAGCGAACCAGATTTTCCTGGGCTGCCTTCTCATAAAATATTTACAACCCAGCAAATACAAAAATCCCCAAAGCCCCCAGCTTGCCCCAGAAGCTAGTAAAGTTGGGGTAGACTTCAATAGTAAAAGTGTCACCGGGTCCTGGGGTCCGGCCCTCAATGCCTATCCAGATGTAGCCCCAGGGCACTGGATCTGGAGCCTCTGCCACACCCAGTCCCCACTCCAGGCTGACCGCTGGGCGGCCGGCCACCTCACTCAGTTGTGCAAGTCTGGACCTGAGATGGAGCTGTGGGAAGGGTTAGAGAGGTGAAAAGGGAGAAGTCGCTGGAGGCACTTGATTTATGGAAACCGAGACCTTCAAACCGACCAGGGTCACATTAAAACCAGTGGGAATTCAGCACACTTTATTCTCCTTTAAAGAAACCTGTGTCTGACAACATTCAACCACCACCCAGATCTCTGGACCTATTATTGCCTGAGGCTTCCCCTTCCTGTCTCACAAATTTCTCTCTCCCCAAACTAAGGAGGTGATAAGAGGGACAAACCTAAGGTTCTTGCTGCACCAGCTCGATGTCTTGAGGGCTGACATATTTTTCATCCTTACTTTATCCATGAGCACAGATCGGTCCTGCAAGGTAAGTATTCATATTGTTCCCATTTTACAGATGGGAAAACCAAGGCTTGGAAAAACTAATTACCCAAGTCCGACAACTAGTAAGTGGTGGTATTCAGACGCAAACCTGCTGCTTCTGCTCCGGAGTTGGAGCATTTAGCCAGTAAGCCCCATGGCTCCCTGGAGAAAGAAATGGCAACCCACTCCAGTATTCTTGCCTAGAGAATCCTGTTGATGGAGGAGCCTGGTGGGCTGCTGTCCATAGGGTTGCACAGAGTCGGTGGACATGACTGAAACGACTTAGCATGCATACATGCACGCATTGGAGAAGGAAATAGCATCCCACTCCAGTATTCTTGCCTGGAGAATCCCAGGGACCGAGGAGCCTGGTGGGCTGACGTCTTTGGGGTCGCACAGAGTTGGACACAACTAAAGCGACTTAGCAGCAGCAGCAGCAACCCATGGCTCCCATTGCCTATCCAATTAGAATCCAGGTCCTGGAGCCAAGGCAACCGGGAGTGGCCAGGGTATAAGTGATGAAGGATACAGTCCAAACTGTATTTTCAGGGATTAGTAGGAATCAAACCTGGGATCCTTTAGGAAATCATTTCCATCTCTGCTTACATAACTTTTGAGACAATTGTCACTGGTTGGAGAGGCATAGGGGAAGAAGAGGCAGGTGTAAAAGATGATTTATTTAGTTTTCTCTCATGCAACACAGAGAAATCAGCCTGCTTTTGTTCTCATTCCTTTTTTTAAAAGCATGGACTGCCATACAACAATGCAAATCAGCCATAATTATACTTAATCCCCTCCCTACCTGCATTGTTGTATGGCAGAAATCAACACAATATTGTAAAAAAAAAAAAAAGTGTTTTATTTTAAAAAGTGAAAGTGTGAACTAATAAATACTTAGTCTACACAGCTGAGTCATGTTTTTCTAGTCCTCAAGAGGGGTCAAAACAGGAAACCAGAGGTTTCCACTGGTTCTGCAGCCTTGGGATTCATGTGATTTTTCTAGCAAGATCAGTCTGCTTCCCCACCCATTCCAGAGCTCGGAGAAAGAATACAAATGGGGGCTTCCACCTGTATCCTGCTCTTTTCTTCCTACACCAGCTCCATCCCACAGTTTGGGGGCCTCACCTGCACGGACACACTTGCCACAGATGCATGCTTCCCCAGCTACAGGTGCACACACTGAGCAGTCGACACACCCCTAGGAGGACAGACCCAGAGAAGCAGCTGACCGGGGCCCGGAAGTGGGCTCAGGGCCATGTGAGCAAGGATGCGGTGGCTCAGGCACCAGAGCAGAGCAGTGTGAATAGCTCTCGAAGCCACTGAACCTGCAGTGGTCCCTAAAAAGGCATCATCAGCTTTCCCCAGAAACCTGTTAGAAATGCATACTCTCTTGGGCCCCAGAGGTTTGAGGTGGGACCCAGAATTTGCATTTTCCTCAGTTCCCCTGTGATGCTGGTTGGGTCCCCACTGTAGAAACCACACATCTAGCCAAGCCCACCTCCTGGGCTCTTCAGATGCCCCACCAGGTGGGGAGGGCCCCATGGGGATAAAACACAGGGCCAGGGCAGGAGCTAAGGCAGCAGCACCAGAACCAAGTTCCTATTGCTCCCTGCTCCTCCTGGCCCCTGCCACAGCCACCCCCACGTTTTTTTTTTTTTTTTTAACTCTTACAGCCACATGTGTCCAGAACCTCTAATCCACCATCCGTGGCTGGTCTGTGAAGCTCCCCTGCAGACCACATTCTCCACCTGTCTGGACCTGCTCTGGAGGCATGCATCACAGAAATAGCCCCAGAGGAGGCTTCCAGCTTGGGGAGTGCACACACCATCCACTGTGACCCTGCAGACACTTTGCCTGCCGATGCTGGCATCACAAGGCCTTGCTCACGCTGTCCTGCCATCTGCGGGTAGAAAATCAGCCCTTCACACTCCCTCCCACAAGCCTCCTCTCCCACCATTGGACTGTTAGTTGCTCAGTCGTGTCCGATTCTTTGGGACCCCATGGACTGTAGCCTGGCTAGGCTCTTCTGTCCATGGGATTCTCCAGGCAAGAATACTGGAATGGGTCTCCTTTCCCTTCTCCAGGGGATCTTCTTGACCCAGGGATAGAACTCGGGTCTCCTGCATTGCAGAAAGATTCTTTACCATCTGAGCCACCAGGGAAGCCCAAGAAGCAAATCTCAGAGCGTAAAGTAAAAGGATACCCGAGGGCGCCTTAAGTCAGGATACCCCGGAGAGCGGCGTAAGGCAGCCTCCCGCGCCTACCCGCACTAATCCAGCTGCGGGCCGCTCCCGCGCGCCATCCTGCAGACCGCGTCCGGAAACCCCAAACATCCTTTGGTTTGGGGCGGAAAGGGCCCGGCCCGCACTGCATTTCCCCAGGACGTCTTGCCGTATGTCCTCAACTTGAGGTCCCTCTTGAGAGTCTTGGTTGCATCCTGCATCACTCTGCGGGGCCCCGAGGGCGCCCCGCAGCTCCAGCTGGCCCCCCAAGGCCCTTTGCACCCAGACCCTGGGCTCCAGGAGGCTGCCTAATAGCGCGTGTCCCGCTCGCGTCCTCTGAATCTGCCGTGACCTAAGCAGCCACTGCTGGGCCCCACCCGCCTCCACTGGCCGCCCACCGCTCGTCTTGCAGCTTGTCCTCCGGCGATGGGCTGCGGCCCAGAAAGCCGCGATGACATCGAGGTCTCCCACCCCTAGTCCGCTAGGTGGGGGCGGAGCAGGGAGGATAATCGCCTGTCTTCACAAAGGGGACTCCGGGAGTCTTAGCTGCTCAGCCTTTCCACACACCGCCCCCCGCACCTTCAAAAGCATCCCTGAATGCTCCCGGGAGCGCCTCTGTGCAGGGCACGTGCTCAGGGTTTGGTGGCCTCTGTCCCGTGAGTGAATTCTCAGCGACAGCGTTCGAGGCCCGTTCTAACTGTTACGCACTCACTCTTTTATAGGTGAGAGAGCAGCCTCCACGGGGAGTCATCCCTCGCCCAGGGTCTTGCTAC